AGAGAGAGAGAGAGAGAGAGAGAGAGAGAGAGAGAGAGACTTAAAGTAGTCATAACAAATGCATACAATTCTTTAGCCAAAATAGGTAGCTTGCTTTCTGGTTTTGACTAATGAGCAGAATGAGTTCGATGCTTTAGAAAATTAATGATGAATTACCACAGGTCATTAGAGGGAAAGGGTAAGAGGTACAGGACTAAATATAAGAAAAGTTTGTATAAAAATTTGCATTCTTTTTAAAGAAAAATGAAATGAACATTTGCCTATAAATATGTTTTCTTCTTGTGAGGATTACTATAAGAATATATAAAGATTTCTAGCAATGACACTTGGGCCTGTAGAGTTACTTAAATCCTCATGTTCACCAGATTTGCTGCAATTATTGTTTAGTATATATTAAATGAAGAAATGAATTCCTGTGTAAAAATACGATTAAATAAATTAAGATAAGTACTGTAAAAGGGTATGAAAATAATAGGGGCCTAGAGGTTTATTTAAGGACAAAGGATCTTTTTTAAAACCCTTTCCTTCCTTCTAAAATATAAATCAAATGCTGTCTTTCTCAAAGGATATTTATCTCAATCCAAATGTAAACTTCACCCGCAAATCTTTGATGATCTGCGAATCCCTTTTTTGTGATTTAATTTATTTTTAGCCACTTTTCTCTCATCTATGAAGGTCTCTTTGAAGTTTCCCTAAATTCAGCAAACATTTTTCTACCAATTTTCACTTGCTCTTGCTTCACTTGAAATTTTCTTTCTTCATCTTCACTCATGTTCTCAATTCGCATTCTAAAATGTTAGCATGCCAGAGAGGCTGTCATTTACCATCTTATGTAAAACTGGATCGAGTGTCCTTGAACTTCCTTTTACTTGTGAAACACACATAACTTAGCCTGAGACCCTGTGTGTTATTGGCTTACTTCTTGTCTACTTCCCTCAGGTACAATGTAAACTGCAGGGAAGCAGGCTTTTGTGTCTTCTTTGCATTCCCTATGACATCCTCAATAGTACCTGACAGCTAGTATTCTCAAACACTTTGCTAACTTTGTTGATGAAGAGAGTTTGTGTTCTCAGGTGCCATTGATTGGGGGTTACCTTCTTGCCTGTAGGTCAGTCCCTACTGAACTAGAAAGTGTGATGTTTAGGAAATGCACTATGGAAAACTTGAAAAAAAAAAGGAACAAATCAGATGTTGACATAAATTGGTCAAGTAATCCAGTTACATTTGGGGATCATGTTTCTGGATGTTATGAAACATTAAGGCTAAATTGGACTTAATTGACTTGAAGGCTGTATTGTATAAAGTTGTTTCAGTGTTACTCAAAGCAGAAAAACGAAATGATAAAAGAAATGGTTATATCAATTTAGACTCTAAGTATTCGTAATGAAATAAAGAATGCACACATAAGGATACACTTGAAATTTATTGCTTTAAGAAAGAAAATGGATTTGTGTTACTCAGAATCATTAGTGAAATCAGCTTGACAATTTGAAATTGAGACTGTCTAATCAAATATTAGGTATCAGAAAGGCAGGTATCAGAAATGCAGAAAATACATGGTTATTGTCTTTATGTATTCCACATTGTGTTTTTAATCACTCTATGAAAAGTTGATAGAAGTATGAAGTGAGATGAAGGATGGAAAATGCATACAGCAACTGGATTTTCGTATCAAACCTGTACAAAAAAATAAAGGAGTAGATTATAATTTTATTGTTATTATAATTTATATTTGGCCTTGCACAGAGTAGCATTATAAATAATTTCAGTTAATATAATCCAGTGATCAAAAGAATAGCTCACACAGATGATATAGTTAAATAATTTTAAGTACCTGAAACAATGTAAATTATCATCATCTTCTACAATTTAAATTTCTTTTATGTCTATCACTAATCTATTGTATTCCACCCTCTAAATACCCTAGACATTTTATTTGTATTTATTTACCTAAAATAATATTCTATTGTACCTGTTATTGAATTAATATTTTCAAGCTTTAAATAATGCCTAGATGATCATGTTCAGATCTTTCACTCTATTAATAGCTATGGGGAACTCAACTGGAATAAAATCTCCAAAAGCACTTAAAATGATTAAAGTAGTATTCCAATGACCTATGGAAATACATCATCAATTTTCTGAGCATTCCAACTCATTCTGCTCATTGGTCAAAACCAAGAAGCAACCTACCTGTTTTGGCTAAAGAATTAAATGCATTTGTTATGACCTTTAAGTTTCTCTCTCTCTCTCTCTCTCTCTCTCTCTCTCTCTCTCTCTCTCTACTGTCTCATATAATTTCAATAAATGTTTGAATTCTGTGAAATTCCACTTTTATCTGAAAAATATTCTTGAATTTCATAATGAAATACTTTTCGTAACATAGCATTGGGACTGTTGTGTTTCAATAGTTAAAACTGGAATTCTATAAATAAATTGATAACATTTCTACATCTTGTTGATAATCTTTTATTGGTAATTGCTCATTAGAATACCTTAATGCAAGACCTCTTGAACTTATTGTGTAATGAATCATATACTGATATGCTAAAATTCAGATTCTGACAGTATAGGTTTTGATGTGGCTACTTTCTTTAATTCTAACAAGTTCCTACTGGTGCTTGTGCAGCTGCTCTAAAGATTACATTTTAGGAGGGAAAGTTTGAAACAGCACTCAGGATAGCTCTACTGGTAGGGTAGTCTGTAGTTGTGGCAGGGCAGCATGTAGTTATATACAACACAATCTGATCGAAGGTTTTGGGTGGTATATAATATAATAGTCTCACCAATTCTATATAGTGGTTAAATATTATTTTTATATGCTGAAATTGAGATTTAGAGGGCTATGGGTGTGGCTCAGTTATACAGTGCTTGCCTGGCATGCTTGCAGTCATAGATTCAATTCCCAGTACCAGGAGAAAAAAATAAAAAAGAGGAACAAAAGAATTGGGTTTAGAGAAGATTGGGAATGACCAGGATACAAACACAGGTATCCCCTTACTTAGAGCCCAGCTTCTTAAATAGAGAAGAAACAATTATTTTTCCCAAAACTATTTAGATAGATAAGTATATTTCACAAGAGCTACATCAGTTACATACAGTTCTCAAACTGATTTGATGACCTATCAAATCCCTTATTGGATTTGATTTGATGACTTTATTTTGTTTTCTTTTTTTAACACTCAGAATTTATATTTCCAGAAAGTTAAAAAAGAAGATGATGATGATGATGATGATGAAGTCACTAGACTCAGCTTACCTCTTTAATCAAGTCCTATGGTTACCAAGCAACAAGTTAAGGATATTCCACAGGGTTACGATATGGATATGGATTTGGATTTAGATATGGGTTAAATCCTTGGTATGGTAAGAATCCTGGGTTTGATCCATATGGATATTTCTGAAATTTCCGCTGCATATTCACAAAAGAAAGAGAAAATTAGATTTGAGAGAAGTTACTACAAATGTCTCACAATGTCACAAAAAGATTAGATAACTATAAGTCCTAAGAAAGTAAATATCAATTGCATGATTGTGTTTTCAAACTCTTAGTTTTGATTTCACTTTTTAAAAATAAGAAAAATGTTTAAAAGAAGATAAAATGATAAAGCACTTACATATTAACTCCTTATTGACAATTTAGTGATTAGACAATACGTTCCAGACCACTGATTAGAGTCAACCACTTTAAATGAGATTTCAATCTGTTATCATATTGCCTCTAAGCTAATACTTTGCCAATCCTTGAATATTACAGGGAGGAGGAATTTCCTACTTCCAACTTCAATAGAATCATGTTACTTCCCTTGGTAATCTATAGCAAATTTTGGACTCTTGAAATTTTCATATGTTTAATATTCTTTGTATAGAACATTCCTTATCCTTCCTTTTGTAAGTTTTTAGGGTGTCATTTTATTGCTATTTTTGTATGTTAAGATGGAGAATTTGGGGGATATCGTGTTCATATAACACATCAAATAAATGGGACACCAATAAGGTGACAGATTGACTGATTTGATGCTCCATGTTCCTTGTGTCTTCACTCCACAACAAAGGATCAAATAATCCCCACCCATTTTAATAAAGTTTTGAAGCAGATTATCAAGTGCAATGGAAATATGGGAGCATTTTTACAAATCATAGAGATACATGTCAGCTCATAAAGAGAAGGGCACATGTATAGCATCCACCTCTTGTCTCTTGAGAAAACCTTGAATGAAGAAAGACTTTAGTGAGCAAGGAAAGAGGAAGAAGGAGGACCCTGACTGTCACCACTCATGTTGGTACCCCCAGAAACTAATTTAGATTTACTAAAGAGACAAGCAATCCTGCCTAACTTCCCTCAAATTAGGGTCTACCACTTTGAGCAGCTTAGTCCAGAGAAATCCCCAGAAAAGAATGGAGTGGCCCTGCCCATATTTCCACATCTCTGGAAGCAAACAGAATCCACTACCCTGATTCCTCATGAAGTAACCAGGCAGTCTTGCCACCCACTATCAACCATAGGTATCCTACTCCATTGGTTTGGTCTACATATCCATGATCCTGGGAAGTAGTCAGGAAGGTTTTCTGACTTTCTTGGCCCATATTGATGTCCCCAACTAGTATCAAATATCCCTCATCCTGTTCTGGTCCCAAGAAGCAGCTGGGCATCCCATTCTCAGAAGCTATTCTTACTGAGGCCATGAGAACACCTTTACCCATGACCATCCACCTTGTATCACAAGAAGCAATTTGGGAATACTTGTTGAGTTGTACTCTGATGTCCTATGAAGTCAACAATTAAGATCTCATACATTGATGGATGCCTATATTGGATCCCCTGGTACTGCATGGTCTTTGCACAAGCCTTAGACATAGCACCATACCTTTATTAACCAATTAAAACTTATGGGCATCTCACATTCACTACTGTGTACACTGTGCAAAGAGTTGCCAGTGAACCTTGCCCTACTCTGCATGAGCTGCATCTCACCTAGCACTCTAATTCCAAAATTTTCTGTAGTCTAAGTGTTGAGATGCAAAGAGATATCACCAACATGAATTATAGATATAAAAAAATTAGATAGATACTACATTAATGCATCCAGCTGTACCAAAGCCAACACAATATATCCAACCAACCTCCTAGGATATATTATCAACAAAATGTTCTTTATTACAAAAGACACTCTAAAAATTGGTAGAGGAAATGAGCCACTAGATAGATAAATACCAAATAAGGATGCAAGAAGCATGAAAAGGCAAGGTGATGTGATGACTTTAAAGGAACACAGTATCTCTCTAGCAATCAGTTCTGGAAAAAAATGAAATAGATGAACTGACTAAGCTAAACAAGAGAGGAGCAAGACAGCAAAGAGTATATCAAACTATTAAGAAAACTAATCAACGAAATGACAAAGTGTGTCTTTATTTATCTGTAATTACCTTAAGCATAAACAGACCAAATTCCCAAATAACACATATTATAGAGACTAAATGGATAAGAAAATAAGAACAAACACACACACACACACACACACACAAATACACACACACACAAAAAACCCCAGAAACAATAGCAATGATATTCTGTTTAAAAGAAACTCTCTTTGGTTATAAAGACAACCAAAGATTAAATGTGAAAGGATAGAAAGTGTTTCACCAGTACATTGTAAACAAAAAACTTGCCAGAGTAGCTATAAATATTTCAGTTTAAATAAACTTTAAGTCAAGAACTATAACAAGAGACCAAATGGTCACTATATAATGATATTGAGGTCAATTCAACAAAGAGAAATAATAATAATTGTAAATATCCATTAACCACACTACGGAGTTCCCAACTGCATAAGTCAAACATTATTAAATCTAAAAGACAGAAAGACATTAATAAAATAATAATCTGGGATATCAAAAATCTATTTTCATGAATGGAAAGAAGACAAGGACAAACAAAGTCAGCAAAGAAACACTGGAATAAAATGATAATGTAGACCAAATTGACTTAACTGGACATATATGGTCAAACAGACATTGTAAAATATTTTATGCAACAACAACAACAGAATATACATTTTTGTCCTCAGCAAATAGAGTATTCTCCAGAATAGGACATGTTAGAATGAAAAAAATTCTAAAAAATTCAAAAAGGTTAAAATCATAGCAGGCATCTTCTCTAAAGTAAATGAAATTAATAGCAAGAGAGGCTTTAGAAATAGTAAAAATGCATGGGAAATAAATAACATTGTGTTGAAAGACAAAAGAGAGAATTAAATGAGAAAATGAGTGGGGCACAATGGTTCACGCTTATAAGCCCAGCTCTGGAGGTTGAGGCAGGAAAAGCCAGCCTCAGCAAAAGCAAGGCACTAAGCAACTCAGTGAGACCGTGTCTCTAAATAATATACAAAATGTTGTTGGGGTGTGGTTCAGTGTTCGAGTGCCCCTGAGTTTAATTCCCAATACCCCTTGCTCCCGGAAAAAAAAAAAAGAGAGGGAGGGATGAAATACTGTTATAAAATTAATATAAAACAAAACAAACCAACCAAACAAAATCAGAAAGAAAAAATAAAACATACCATACTTAAACATCTAGGACAGCAAAATCAATACTAAGATGCAAGTTTATAGCATTAAATGTGTATGTCAAAACAGAAAAAGATTTCAATAAGCTATATACAAAGGAACTGAATAAACAAGAAAGCAAAGACAAACCAAACCCAAAATTAGTAGCAGGAAAGAATTAACAGAGAAGAGAAATAATTGAACTTGAGACTAAAATTAACACATAAATGATGAAAGAAAAGGAGACTTTTTGAAAAGATTAACAAAATTGACAAATCTTTAGCTGGACTAAACAAGAAAAAAAGAAGCAAGACCCAAATAAATAAAATCACAAATGAAAAAGGCAGTATTAGAACTGATACTGTCAGGAAAGGAAGGGGGGGAGGGAAAGGAGAGATACTTAATAAGATTGATCAAATTACATAGGTGCATGTATGAATATGGCATAATGAATTCTATTATTATGTATAATTATAATGCACCAATAAAAATGTGAATGGCCTTTCTAGATATTTCTCAGAAAAGGGTACACAAATTGCTAACTTATATATGAAAAACAATGTTCAACATCATTAATCTCAGGGAAATCAAACCCAAACCATACTTAGATGTCATCTCACTCTGGTTTGAATGAGAAAGAAAGAAAGAAAAAAAGAAAGAAAGAGAAAAGAAAAAAGGAAGGAAGGAAGGAAGGAAGACCACACCAAAAATACAAAGAATAACAACTGCTGGTGTGGAAAGATGGACTCTTTATAGTGATGATGGAAATATAACTCAGTAAAGCCATTATGGAAAACACCATAGAAATTCCTCAAAAGTCTAATTACTCCAGTACTGAATATATATCTAAAGAAATTAAATTCAGTATGCCAAAGAGACATTTACACTCCTGTGTTTAGGGAAGCACTTTTCACAATGCTCAAGATCCAGAATCAACCTAGGTGTTCATTGATAGATAAGTGCATAAATAAAATACAGTATACACACAGAGTGGAATATTTTCTAGTCATAAACAAATAATGAAATTCTGTCAGTTGTAACATAGAGGGAAATGCAGGACAATGAAAATTTTTGAACAGAGAGACTATTAGGGCATCTGTTACTTATATGTGGAGCTGAATCCTTGACTTTAAATAAATAAAGATGAGAATATTGGTTACTGGAGCCTGGGAATGATGTGGGGGAGAAGGAGATGGAGAAAGGATGGTTAATGAGTACCAGGTTGCAATTGAATAGGTGAAAGAAATTCTTATGCTCCATTGCAAGCTACTAACTATGGCTAATAATAAATCATTAAATATTTCAAAATTGCTACTGTAGAAAATTCTGAATGTTCCCTACACAGGAAAGTGATAAACATCTGAAGTGACAGATACTTCAATTTTCTGAAAAGTCACATTTAGCTGTGCCTGGTAGCTGTGCCTATAGTCCCACCTAGTCAGGAGACTGAGATGGGAATATGGACCAGCCCAGGAGCTTGAGATTAGCCTGAACACAGAAAAACTTGGTAAAAAAGGAAATTTGATTATATTGTATCCTGTTTACATGTATGTTCCCTGTGTGTAAATTAATAAAATATATTTAAAATAGTCATTGAGACTACATGTTAAGATAAAGGTCAAATAAGTAAAATTTTCTTATTTAAAATATTTAGCTTAACCTATTAAATTTATATTCCTAAAAATGTGAGTTGGTGCAAAATTACCACATCATATGTGTCAAAATTAGCCTTTAGCCTTTATTCTTCATTAGGTATGTCTTATATTTAATATAATTAGGACTACAATTATTCTGTGCTTTATCAGACAAAGATAGGTTAGTCCCAAGGGAATAATGGGATTGTTTTAGAATAGCATTATGAGTTTATATTGGAATTATTATGCAGATATTGGGATCTTTTTAAAATGTGTCACAAATAAATGTGTACATTAGTCATTCATATTTCAGACAGAAACACTGTTTCTTTCCATAGACTAAGGAGGAATACTTACAAGGAATTTTTCTCTTCTCTTGAATCGTTTCTATGAAAATAAAACAAAATATGTTAAAAATTCAATACAGTTTGATTACATAGTTTTCCAGTGATGACATCTCTTACCTCCTCAGAAGAATCAGCACTCTGCGGGGGGAATAAGAAATTAATTAATATTTTAATTTTATAATTCAAGATTGATTATAAAATGACTACTTGCCACAATTACAATTAAACAGAAGGAAAGCAAAACTTTGAGTAGATGATACACTACTACTGTTATTATTTTAAAATTAATTATTACATAATTAATTTGTTATAGTCAAGTATCTATTCTCTTCCATCCATATTTCTTAAATGTGTGATATGGAGAAAAACTTTCTTGAGCATAGATAGGAAAGAAAAGTTGAAAGTGACATTTTTGATTTTTTAATATGGATAATTTGTAAGTAGCTCACAAGCTATTTAGATCCAAATACTTGGATAATAGAGTATACCATTATCCCTCTCTCTATTCTTCTTATTATTTTATTCCTCCTTATGTCATTTTGCAATGAAAAGTGACAAATGCTGGTCTCATAAGCAATTTGTTGTCTAAAACACTCATAGAATTACTGTGTCACTGGAAGTAATATTATTTGTGACTTAATTCTCAGTCACTATGTAAAATGAAGAGGAGAGGATGGCATGAGGAGGAAGATTAATATGAAGACCTCTGTTGAGTAAAGATTTCCAGGAATTTCATAAGCTATTAGTATCATTAATTCTGAAACACTTTAAGTGTTTTTATTTTTATATAAAGCTAATTACATTTGAATACATAAGATGATATATTGGAAATTTATTCTATGG